TAACACTATTTGTGATTGGAAAGTTTACAAAGAAGTCAATATAAAATTGGAAAGTTTAAAACTCAGTTAAACAGCATTAATTAAAAAAATAGTTTTGTGAAAAATAAAGTCTTGGCATATCAAATAATTGCTCAAAAATTACAAAAAAATGTACATTGCTAGCAAAAACAACAAAATTGCACTACACAATGTCTGTATATCAACATTTTTTATAAATAATTTTCCTTTAAATAATTTTTTTAATCTTTTTTTTAGTATTTTATTTTCGATATTCTTTTTTAAATAATATTTTTTAAATAATCTGTTTCTTTTAAATAATTTTTTCGTTAATAATCTTTTTTTTTAATCTTTTCTTTAAATATTTTTTTTTTATTTGTTCTGCACCAAATACTTGTTAATTTCCTGCTTAACCTGCAATTATACAAAAACATTCAGTTTATACTAAGTTCTTTCGTTTTTTACCATTTTAAATACTCATTTTTCTTACTGCTGCCTATTACAATACTTAATTTGCTAGTCTGTTTACTGTATAGTCACCACTTCAACGCTTAAGTTGTATGGCTTTTCAACTGTTTTTTACTTTATACAAAAACTGAAGTTCTCCGAAAATAATTGCACGCCTGCACGTAACTTCAAAATTAAACATTTTAGCGTCGCATTTGCGCACTACGCTTCCTAACCTTACTTTTCTACTGCTGCTTGCTGATTTCTAATTTGCTTAGTACAATCATGCTTGTAATTTTGCTTTCACATGCTTTTCTAATTTTTGTGCTAGTTTTTGAAAATTTCTCTTTACTTTTTCGCACGCAATCCGTCTACCTACGCCACTTAGCGCTGTGTGTGCTAAATACTTTTATTATTTTCTTACTAAATAATTTGCTTGGCGTCTTTTCAACTGCTAAACCTTAACTCCATAATTTTTTTTCATTTACTTTTTACAAATTTGCCATTTTTACATGCAAATATTGATTCTGAAAATTACTGTTTTTTATGATTTCTTTACTTCACACATACCTACTCATAGTATTGTAGTTAGTTGTACGTACTCACACATATTATAATTTAATACCCACTAAATTCTTTAAATTTATTTTGCTTTTCAGTTTTTGTTTTTCATATATGTTTTGTATGTAGTAGTATTGGTTGTTTAATATATGTCGTCTGTATCTGTGCCTTTGCTGCGATAGTAGTGCTGATCGTAGTAGTTGTTATTATAAGAGTATTCGTCTTGGTAGTACTCCTCATTGCCGCTGTGGTTAGCTTCGTTGGCAACAATGAGTTCGCGTACATCTTGCGGCGGCACATCGTCATCCTCATCGTCGTCGTCGCTGTTGTTGTTGTCGTTGTCGTTGTCGTCGTCATCGTCATCACCATCATCACCGCTGCTATTGCTGTTATTGTTGTCTAAATAAAGTGTTGTCTCAATGGTGTTCAGTTCATTTGCATTTATATCTGCTTGCCAGCTTTCGTGCCTAGCATAGGCAACACCATAACTTCGCTTATCCTTACCACGCCCACCATTTTCGAGTTTCTCCTCATTCACTTTTGTCACAGTTGCTGCTACACGTCTACTTTTGTATGCTTCTTCGCTTGTTTCGCCTACTCACGCACTCAAATCCATGACTCTTAATTGCTGTCGGCGCGATTTCGCTGCGCGGTGTGCGCTGCCGATCTTTCTTCGTTTGCGTTTGGCGTCACGCTGGAATGCTACATTGCCTGGATCGTCGGCCAGCTGTGGATATTTGTGTATGCTGTGAATGTCGATGCCAATCCAGCCATCTACATCGCCGTGCGACACAAGCTCTTCTTTCTCCTCTTCAGTCCAGTCGCCGCGTCCCTGGAAGCCGGCAGCCACGAGCTGCTTCTCGAGCTCCCATGCGCGTTCGACGGCACGCTTGTGCGCATGTTTTAGTATGCGATGTCGCTCTTGTTCGGGATCAACACCATATTTAATTATCACCACAGCATCAGGGCCGTGCAGCCGCAATTCCTTTGCAGCGGTGCCGCCATGATCGGTCACTTCGTGTGTTGATATGTTGAACATGCCGCCGAGTCGGCGCAGTTCTTCGTTGTCGTCGCGCAGCTTGAGCACATTGTCTTTGACAAAGTAGAATACATCTTGATCGTGTATGCTGAAGTGCAGATCGAGGAAGTAGGAATTGTTGAAGACCGATGAGACCACATCCTGTACCACGCTATTCGAGCCATCTACGACGCTGACCAAAGCGCGTCCGCCAATGCGTGAAAGCAGCACACCCTCGCCGAAGACGCCACGTCGGTAGCTAATACGTGGTAGGAGATTGCGCATCTTTGGTTCCATCTTCAGTAGTGGCTTCGGCMCGAAGTCGAAATCGCTGAATTTCTCGTTGGTCTTCTCGACAATACATTCCAAACCGGAAATCACACCGAATTCAGGTGCCAGTGTATTTGATTTTATCGATATTTGTGGCACATATTGCGCGTCTTTGGTGTACTTTGAGCTCTGCATGCTACGCAAATCGTAGCCGAAAAGTTGCAGCCAAGACTCCAAGTCGATCATATAGTTTTGCGGTTTGTTAGGATTGACGGGATCGTTGTTGTGGTAGCGGTAGATGAAGACGTCAGTTGGATTGGACATTTCGGTGGCCAATGTCTCCCATTTGGGTGTCATCCATTGACCAACGGTAGGATCGTAGTGGCGTCCTTCGGTGTAGATTAACTTCGTGTTGGGATCTAGCAGTCCACCATGGAAGTCGATCGGTATGAAGAAGTCTGGATTAGTATCTTTGATAATGCGGCCGAATGGCGTGCGTCTTACATCTTTGATTATGATGCCGTTCGGATCGAAGCAGGCTAGCGGAGAACCATTCTGATCGGTGGCCACATAGTAACGCTGATCACCGTTTTCTACTACCATTAGCATATCACGATCGTCGTAGAAGAAACGCAATGTTTTGCCCACTTTCGGGAAGTGTACGTGTGTTAGCAATTTCGGTGTCTTCGGGTTGGCATAGTAGTACTGCGTTACATTACCCTTGCTGTCGTGCCAAGCTATTAAACGGCTGCGGTCATCATAGTAGTACCACGATTGGAAGCGCTCTCTTTCGAAGGCATGTATCAGCTGACCGCGATTGTTATAACGATACTTCTGTTCACCACGTCGCACCACAAAACCACGCGCATCATAACTGTTGAACTCGATCTCACCAACTTGTATGACGCGATCGCCAATATCATAACTGAGATTAATTTTCTCGCCTTGATCCACAATGCCGACAGTGTTGCCATTCTCATCGTACAAGTACTTCCAATTGTTTGTGCCGAGCACTTCGGTCACATGTCCATCAGCATTGTAATTGATCTTGTCGAATGATGTTGAACGTCCCAACGTTGTTTTCTGTGATTTTATGCGATTTCGCAGATCATAGTCCAACTCAAGGCGAAAGACGTCGAAGCTCTTGATATTCATAAGCACACTTTTTACGCGACCATGCTGATCGTAATCGATGATCGTGAAGAATTGCTTAGCAGAGTCTTGAATAACGGTACGATTGAAAGCATTGCGAGTAATCTTTAGATCCTGCACGACTTCCAACTGTCCCAAGTTTTGACTATATTTGTAACGTGCTGTGGGCACTTCCTTGTCATCAATGGACATCTCAATGCTGCTCAAACGTGCATTGCCATCATAGAAGTACTTATAGTGTGCGGAAGCTAATGAGTTCTTTGAGCCGAAGCGTACCTTTTCGTCTTTGAGAATACCAGCGTGATACTTGAACTCGCGGCGTAACTCAAAGCCAGGTTCTTGGACTTCAACTGATTTGATGAGGCTCGTGGTGTCCTGATAAGTGTAGTGCGTGCTTGATAGCCCAGCCAGAATTGTCTCCAGACGGCCAGCGGAATCATGTACAAACGCCACCTTACCGGATTGGTGTGGATGTATCTTCGCGAGTATCTGCCCTTCGTCGTTGTATAGTATTTCGAAAGGATGGCGGTTGATCGGTGAGAAGTATTGGTACTTGAAGAAGCCGAGTGAGGTTTGCAGTGAGAATGAGTGTATATGACCGCGTGGCGTTGTCAAACTTTGTAGCGCGCCAGCATCGTCGTACTGCAAGAGGTAGTCAGAACGACGTGGTGTGGTCACTTTCAGGGGCAGTGAGCCGAACATGTCTTTGAAGGCATAAACCATTGATGAGCCATCGCCATATTTGATTTCGTTTAAGCGTCCGTTGCGATCAAAGGTATACGCTTCTTGCAGCACACCCCACTTCCAGCTCACTAAACGACCAAAACGATCGTATTCCAAGTCGACATCGGCATAGTCGCCTGATTGTGGGCGGAAACTAACTGGACGTGCTGTGCGGTCATAAGTAACATTCAATAATTCTTGTTTATCATCGACGAGCACAACAACGGATTGCGCGTCGCGATCATATTCGAGTGTAAGCACATTATCGCCATTCACACGCAGCTTGCGTCCAACTTGTGAGACTGGACGTGGTCCTTTGCCTTGCTTACCCTGCTGCATGCGACGCACGAAGTAACGCCACTCAAAGCGATTAGCCAGATCACCAGCGATTTCGGTACGCTGCTTTGCAGGCACGGGATAGCTTTCACCAATCACAGGATTGATTTCAGCTAAAATTGCGTACGGTACCACCTCCATTTGTACGGTGTGACCCCATGGCGTTAAACTTGTCATTGAACCGTCCATTTCAACAGATGTCTTCGATTCGGCGGCACCGTTGCGCACCATGACTGTTGAGCCCTGTATCAGCATCGACTGTTCCTTCTGTGCATTCTCCGATATCTTAACTTGTGCACCTTTAACGCTCAAATCGAATACCAAATCAATGACACGACCAGTGGGCGTAACAGCTGAAGTGAGGCGTCCAAACTCATCGTAATTGTAGACATAAGAGCGGCCTGTTGAATCTAGTTTGGTCTTTAGCAAGCCGGTTGGACCGTGATATTCAAAAGTCACATTGTAGTTGTCCGGTGTGCTCAGTTCGTGCAACATCTTCATGCGTGTCATGCGTAGACGACATTTCTGACCCTTCGTATTTTCAATAGAGTTCACCTGTGAAGTGTAGTCACGCAGTAGGAAGACCTTATTACCTGCCGCATCAGTCACGGTACTCAGTTTGCCATTGGAAGTATTGACATTATAAGTGAAGACATATGTGGTTTCGCCAGTTAGAATATTCTTGGTAGAGACGTGCTGACCGAAACGGTTAAAGATATAAATTTCTTGCATATCTGGCGCATATATTTCATATTCGCGTGACGCACTGGCTTCCGGTATGCTGGACATAACCGAACGTATGCGGTAATTGGCCTGATCAGCAATATGCACATGACCATCGGGTGTAACAGAAAGCGCCGCTATAGTGTTAAACTTGGCACTGGTCGCGAGGAAGTGCTCTGCCTCAAAACAGTCGCAGCCACGTTCCAAGCAATTACATTTCGACTCTGCGCCAGCAAAAGGTGCTATACGGCCATCTGTGCCAATGACGCGCACGCGGTTGATGCGTTGCGAGTCGCTCTCCGCCACGTACAACTCACCCATGGGACCAAACGAGATCGATTGTGGCATCACGAGTGTGGCATGTGTAGCCAAATCGGAATCATAAACGGTTGAAGTGGTGGCACAATGCAGTGGACGTCCGGAAATGACACGCACACGTCCATCGGGTGTCATGCGCAAAATCATATGATCATCGATGATGTGCAGTGTATTGTCCAAGGGGCTAACAGCCAATTCGGTGGGCCAACGCAAATGCATCTCTTCCAGCTTTAATGTGCCCTCGCATGGTATGGGCTTCCAGTGTGACTTATGCATGTGATTGCCAATCAGCGTTGTGACAATGCCATCGCGGTCAACCATACGGATATTTGTGCCATCTGCGAAATATAATATATTGTCGCTGGAAATGGCGATGCCCTTGGGATAGGCCAGCTTCGCATCTTTCGCCAAAGCACCGTCACCACAATGCGCCTCGTCGCCTGGCAGACAACGCTCACCGGAGCCGACAATGGGTTCCCAATTCTTTTCAGGTTGTGTGTAATCATTAGTGTCGCGTACGCGTATGATTTGATGTGACTCCGGATCGGATATGTAAAGTGTGCCGTCCAGAGGACTTAGCGCCATGTGGTAGCGGTAGGAGACGCGTGTGGCATTTAACTTGACCACTGTGCGTATGGTGCCATCGGTCATAATGCGGCGTATGTAGTTGAAATCGCCGACATACAAGCTGCCATCAGGTGAAGCGGCCAAAGCAACAGGCGCCAGTAAACGTTGCTTGTATGCTAAGCCCTCGCAATCGTTGCATTCGAGCGGACGTTGATGGCCATCACCCATCGTAGTGAGTATGACACGTGGCTTATTCTTCAAGTAGATATTAGAGCCGTCGCCCTTCTGCAGTATGCCCTCATGGAAGTTGTAACGATGGTGTATATCAAGATTCCAACCACCGACCTCGGAGATGGACATGTCATGGCCGGACAACTTGGTGGTTTGTATATCCCAAATGATGTCTTTGCAATCGCTGTACTGATAGCCAACCTTAACAATCGCTGTGGTCACACCGTAGACGCGTTGACGATAGATATTCAAGCGATTCCAGGCGTAGGTGAATTTAATGCCCGGATCAGCTTCGAAAACACGCTCGAACAGTATACCCTCGATAGTTATGCGCAGATGTATCAGGTGCAGTGTATCTGGTATAATTTCCGGTGTTAGCTGCAGCTTTATGGTCGACAGGTAGCCGGCGGCGCGTGAAGAGTGGTATACCAAATTCAAGCCGGTGCCGGGTATTTGTAGTGATTCCTGTATAACTTGCGATTCGGCCAAAATGGCGGAACGATCGGGACAAGCGCCTTGGAAACCATGCTTCCACGAAGCCAACACAACCGGTTTCATAAGATCGTAGTCGTGTGAGAAACACGTATGCGGTATGGGTATCAAATTCTTCTCCTCCGACATGGACATAACCACCACATCGATGATGATCACTTCGTTCCAGGGTATTTGTACGATGCGTGACTGCGGCCGGAATGGTGAGCGGCCGAATTGCAGCGTAACTGCGCCGCCGCCATTCACCATCAAATCGAACCAGCCGTCATCGCGTGTGAGCGTGAAGCCTTCGAGCAGTGTTGTGGTGGAGACGCGCACACCCACCAACCCCATGCCGAGCGAGGTGACAACGCGACCGCGTATAACGGCCGAACGGCTATAGTGGAAAGAGTCAAAAAGAGCAGCGTGTTAGTGACGTCTTTGTTAAATTAATGTGTGTGTGGTATAAAATAGAAAATGTTTACTGTAAATAGCAAATAGTTAGGAAAAAATAACTTACTAACAAGCAGTAGAAAAACGTAAAAATTGTATGCATAAAACTTGCGCTAATAAAACGTATTGACATTTATAAATAAACTACTTAAATAAATAACGGTAAATTGCTAAATTAACGGCAAATAAGCTGTAACAAATACGTAAAATTACACACGCACATATAAACATAAAATAGACTTTCTCTTAACACATAAGACACAATTGAACGAAGTTTGAACGAGCGTAATAGCGAACGAACGAACCAACGAACGAACAAATGGACGAACGAACGCATGTTTACAAGGTGTTCGTAAGTTTTCAAATACTGTTCGTTTCCAGTTATTTTTATGTCATAACGGTAGTTTCAAAATTTGTTTTGAACTTTTTTTTTTTGCATTTTCTATTGAAATTAAAACCTAAATTGTTTGCATTAGGGTTGCTTGGAAACGTAATAGGCGCTTATTATTTGTAGTCTCAGCGCGTAAATATTTTAAATGAAATAAAGAAAGTATGAGGTGTTGTAAAATATGTGAAAAATGCACTACTAAGTGCTTAAAATAACGCTACAAGGCCCAACGAGGCGCATTGGCGTTTGAACTGCATGATTTTATGTTAGACGTGAGGGGTTAAGTGAAGAGGTAGAACGCATGAATGAAAAAGTGGTAATGAAAATAAAAGCAAATTAAGTGTTTGACGTATAAAAAGAAAATTAGAAAAATTAAATGGAAAATTAATTAAAATTACGACAAATTAGTAAAATGAGCGCACTGCTATGAGAGCGTTAAAATATGTTAAAGTATGAAAATTAATAGCTAAGAAAACATGTTACCAAACAACCAACGAACTTTTTTAAAGAGTATTTAGTTAGTTATTTTAGTTTGAGCGCTGTTGCTTTGCTTACCTTGCGTTGAAATAATTCCAAAAAATGCTGTTAGTATTTAATGAATTTAGTGGTGATTTTTTAAACGATTTGTTTGTTTTTTGGTTAATTTTTTGTAATGATTTTTGATGATTTTGTTTGTAATGATTTTTGAAATATTTTTTTTGCAATATATTTTTGTGATTTCATTTTAATATTGAAAACAATTTTGATATTAAAATTTTTTTATTTATAAATACTTTAGCATATATAGATGATATATACGTGTATGTGTGCATACATTTTTGAATGTTATTTATAGGCTTCGGCGACGTCACTTATCGGCGCGTTGGTAACTGCCATAGCAACCAATACACAGGCGCGGCTCAAGCGCACACACACTACCGCACTTTTCGCCATGTATTGGTGTGTATTTACAGTGAAGAATGCACGTTTGTCAATTGCACTGAGGAATTTCATGTATTTTTCGGCTTTTTATCTCATTTTTTCATATTTTTTGTGGCTTAAGAAATCTAGTAATTACCGTGACTCCCAAAATTGCGCTAGTTAGTGAACTTTTGTAAATATTTTCAACTTTTGCCAGACAATTRTAAGTATTTTATGGTACTTTTCCACAACTAGGTAGTTGTATATTTATAAATATGTATATAGCGCTATATTTGAAAGCAGCATATTTGTATAATTGCACTGCGTCATTAAGAAACCGCTACGTTGTAGACGTAAACGTTCATTTTGTTGTAATAAATATACATATATACAAGTAATAATGCTCGTTGCGGCGTAAAAGCGTTGTACTCTGTTAATTCTTTCTAGTAATTTTTCGCTTCTTTCATCTCGAGCCACATCTTTTCGTGATGTTTTCTTCAATTAAATGCACGGCGTCGTCTCGCGTCCGCCTAACGCTTTGCTTCACCAAGTAATCAACAAACACAGACACAACTTTTATACATACAACAGACACACACACAAACACATTGAGATATATATATATATATACAAATATAAAGACACAAGCGCGCACCTTCAAGTGTATACGGCAAGCAAGCGGGCCTGCCTCAAAAACAACAAATTAGTAACGCGCGCACACGCTCTAGCTTCGTTGCACGTAAAACACCGAAAATCACGTCCGCAAACAGGTAAATGCGCTGGCAAACTATTTGAGCCGCACTTCGATTTCAGCGAGCGCACCGTCGCGCCAGCAAGCCGCTACCAGCTAACAGCTACGACGCGCAGTTGCTCACTCAGYGCGTTGGCTGTATGTATGTGTGCGCGCATGCGGCGAGCGCGCCGCCTTGCAGCGCAATAGCATTTTCTTTGAAGAAAGCCTTAAATTATGCGCCAACTTATAATAGAAATTGCTTGCAACAGCCACTTGAAGYAATGTCTCCGCCTAATGTGTTGCAAATTATAAGCATATTTTACTCGCTGGCCTCCGCTTTCGTGCATCAATCAATCTCACTTGCTGGCATTAGCGCTCTTTCCCACGCAAACAGCGTGCTCATCATTCATTAAAGCTGCGCGCTGTGCTCGCGCAGTCACTTTTCCCACGTCTACTTCGACTACACACAAATTTCTTAAACACATATGCATTCCTATTCATTCGAACATCCAGCGAATCGGTAAATGTCAATAACAGTCAGCTACTCTCGGCCGTTTTTGTTCGTTAAGTGTTTGTTGCCTCCACACTGGCACTCGTTTTATTGGCACTTCGTACCTGTTCGCTTGGTCGATCGTTGGTATTTSGAATTTTTTTCTGGTTAACAACCTTTTCTCATTCGCTTCATTGTATTTTTGTTGCGCRCTCTGACGCTCTCCAACTCTCACACTGTCTCTGCTGCTTATCTTGCTCTTTCCTGTTTGTGTGCTCTCTCACCCGTATATACGCTCTCACCTGTATGTGTCTTGAACTCACCTGTATCTGTGTGTCGGCGTAGTGAGTAACAATTTACCTGTTTTGTTGTGTTCTGTTCGCTACGTTGGCATCGGAAAGAGAGCGTATATTAGATATTTAGATACGCTCAGCAATAAAAATACACTCAGACAGGTAATATTGRCCTCCCCATATAGGCAGGTATTGTTGGTTTGTCTCTTTTTACCTAATGTTTTAGATAATTTCGCCGCATTGCCAACTATTGCTACAATTATATGTAGAAACTTGCTTGTGTTTTGTTTGGGAACAATTTTCGAAAGTATACATGAAGTAACGGAAATTTGAAAGAGCAGAAGCAATATAAAATTTTAAAGGTTTGCATAACCGAATGCTCAAAAGATTCTCATTTCTCCCTCTTTGCCGATTGCTTTATAAAATACGCTGATTATTTTGCTTTTTGCTTTGATCCAAGATTTATCCTGAAATTACGGAARTTAAGTGAGATTATAGTAGAGCTTAAAAGATCTAAAGTAACTGATTTTATTCTAAAAAGATCTTGATGTCAAAAATTGAAAGTTTTCCAAAAATGAAATGAGCTTCGACGAAAAGGATGTGTCTTCATATAATTTCTCCGCATTGCCAACTATTTATAGAATTGCATACATTTGATTGATTTTGTTTGGGGACACTTTTTWAAAGTATACCTAAAGTAACGTAACTTTCATAGAGAAGAAAAGTCATAAAAATTTAAAGATTGAAAAAATTATACTTAAAAGGTCCGACCATTTATAAAAAAAAAAGAAAATCATTTCTGAGCAGGAAAACCAAACACACTTGTAAACTTTTTACATTTTAGAGGTTATGTGTTTATCTCATATCAATATCTGTGCCAGTGCTGTAAAATTATGCAGAAATTCAGTCTCGAGTGAAATATCAACTCGGGAAACTTACTCCTTAAATTTTAGAACATTTTTTAATCTAAGTAAAAGTAACCAAATTTGTATTGAATTGGTTGTGGTGGAACAGTTTACTATCAGCGTTAAAATACCAATCAACAGTTTGAGAGCCAACGCTGCTAAGTTGGTTCTCAAAGAAAATAATTAGCAGAGACACGAACCGCATCTAATACTTCTCTTACTTCCGGGTACATTCAGGGTGCGCGTTGCTGTAGTTTCCATAGTTTATTAATTTTTCAAAAAAAANATAAAATTTTGTATTTTTGTTTTTATAAAATTTTGCAATATTTTGTTTTTGTTTTTAGCGTTTTGCAAGTGCCGAAAGTTATGCATATTTGCCAAACGTTTACATTAGTAAATTGGTTACGTATACGCAGTGGTAGTATGTAGAAGTAGTGATGTTGGTAGTAGTAGGTTAGTAGCAGTTTTAGGGCGCGCGTGTGAGAGAAGAGAAAAGAGTAGAGAAAATTAATTGCATTAGCGTTGATTTAATGTTTGCATACGTTGCATATATTTATTGTTAATTAACTGTAAACATTTTGTATTTGCAACTTTTGTCAAAGTAAAATGTCTTCAATGAAAAAAAAAAAAAACGAAACTGAAACTAAGCCACGCGTGCTTAGTGGATATCGAAAACAAGTTGTTTTATGCAAGCCTGCGTAAAACTAAAATATTTTGTTGTTTTATACGTAGTTGCAGCATGTAGCGCGGCTTTATTGTGCAGCAGCAGCAGTTTGCTTTTCGTAATTTTTTTATTATGATTTTTGATTTTTGTACGGCTACTCTTGCCTACTTTTAGGGTATTTGTGGTGCAAAAACAAAGGACATATAGTGGGAGTTATTTACATATGTTTTATTTCATGGGTTGGTAAGGGATATTTTTGGCGGTTGGGATTTTTTAGACGTGGGCACGATAACTTAAAAATATCAAAACGTAAAAACTGAAAAAAGGCAAACTAGTTGTCATTATGCATTATTTGTTTGTTGTTGCTTTTTTTAAATTTTTTTAAAAGGATATTTACATCCACTATACACACTAAAACATCAGCGTTTATGTAATGCAAAAATTTTGTGGCTTTTATCAAACGAAAAAATATCTTTGTCACCAATTGCTTTTTGCTTGAAGGCTTTTCAATATTTTTTTTGTTTGTTTTTTGTTTCAACATAGCTAATTTGTGAAACTTAAAGTATACGCAATTAAACTAGAGTGTGTAAAGAAATTGGCAAACGCCTTGAACAAACCTTTCATTGAATGTCTCGAGTTTCGCATAGTTCTGCAGGCTGCTCTCGTCAATGAGGAATTTCATGCGCTCGAAGAAGGATGCGGTAATGGCCGGCGGTTGCTTGCGCAGCAAGACATCAATCGGCTTGGGTGCGGATACGCACAGCTGCGATGTCTTGCACACATGACTGGCACAGCACTCGGGATCCTCACAGTCGACCAGACCGTCTGTCGCATAACACAATTATTCATTATTGTTATTTATATGAAATAATATGCCAAGTGCATACACTTACCCTTGTCGTTGTCCTTGCTGTCGCCACAATTCAATTCAAGCGCAATGCCGCAGTCGGGACCATCCCAGCCCTCGTAGCAGCGACACTCCCACTGACCCTCGCCGCTCACGCGACACTGTCCATGCGCCGAACAGCCATTCGGACAGCCCTCGATAGTGCAGTGCTTGCCATTCCAACCGGTCACGCACAGGCAGGTGCCATTCTTGCATTGCCCATGCTCATTGCAGCGCGTATCGCAAAGTTTGGTGTTGCAATATTCGCCACCCCATTCCGTGTCGCAAGTGCAGGCATCGCCGACACAGCGTCCATGTTGACCGCAATCCAAATCGCACAGCTCCTTCGAGCAATCATCGCCGCTCCATTTCGGCTCGCATGTGCAGGTCTGCGTGTCCACATCGAAATTGCCATGATTCGAGCAATCCGGTAGACATTGTAAGGCGTCCTTGTCGACGGTGGCGCAATCGGTGCCCTTCCAGCCCTTCTTACAGATGCAAGTGCCGTCAGCGCAGAAGCCATGACCCGAGCAGTTCGGATGCGGACAGTCAACTGGAATGTGTGAAAATACAGCAAATTAGTTAGTAATTTGGTAAAGCATAAGTTAATGTAAATATTTTGTTGTCGAGTCAACGCGTGTAACAAAATTTTTTGTAGAAATACCCGTTCATTACCTTCCTCACAGAATTTGCCCTTATAGCCGCGCATGCACTGGCACTTGCCGCTCACGCAATGCCCATGTCCATTGCAATCGGCCACTTCGCACTCATCGTGACGCAACGAGCACTCTTTACCCTTCCAACCGGGATTGCAAATACATTCGCCGTTAATGTATTCGCCATGTTGCGAGCATAGCACTGGGCAGACGCTCTCGCTACAGTCGTCGCCACCAAAGCCGGGATTACATTGACAATGCCCGAGCAGGCATTGGCCATTGCCGGAGCAACCGTTCGGGCAATTCTGTGTCATATCCTCGGCAATGGCGGCGTAGAAAGTAACCTCTTGCGCGTCACCATCGTCGTTGTAGAGCGAGACGAACCAGTGGCCGGGCTCCATGTAACGTGTTACCTCGCGTGTTATCGATAACTGTGTGCGGCAAGTAAGCGCGCAAGAACGTAGATGGAGCAAAGTGAGCGTGCGTTCATATACGTGAAGCGCGTTTATATCCATGAAGCCAGGCGTAGTATAGTTTAGTTTAGCGATGAACGTCGTAGCGCCATGAAAATGTGTCGATTTGATGTTGTTGTGTGTATGGTATGTGGTACATGGAACGCATATATGTGTACAGAGATATGTGTATAGCGGTTTTTGTTGTGTACGGGATGAGAAACAAGAAAAACACAGAGAAACAGTTCGGTTAATGAAGCATTAGTTGTACGTTAACGAGTTTGAAGCGACAATTAATACCTTATAACTATGCCATAAACTAAAAAACTAAGACCATATACGAAATGTAACCACATAATGATAAGCGCTTACGTAATAAATTTTATTAAACTTATGTATATAACTACAAATAACCGCTTATGGCGTAGCAAAACAGTAAGCTACTCACGTGTGCTGCGCGCGCTGTCCTAGTGCTGGCACTAAAGCCGCTCAACACCTCCTTAAAGTGATATTGTGTATGTGTTGGCAACGCGTTGCGACGCCCATAGACACCTATCGATGCGCCGCGCGGTATGGTGTAATCAAACTTCACATAAGCCGGTTCCGATTGATAGAACTGCATATTCCAATAGCTGTACGGTTGTATCTCCTTGGTTAGCTTCTGGCCTAATGTGATTTGTCCAAAGGTCGTGCCATCTGGTGGGAAACTGCGTGCTGGGAAAGTACGCGCACCTACTCGGCATAGCACGCCCAAGGTGTGAGTATATTAGTAACGCACGCGTACGTTTCATAAGCGCGTTAAATTGCGCGCGAAAATGTAATGAGAATTATGAGTAGTACGAGCGCCATTTGTGCGCATGATGAGCGCGATGAGTGTACGCAAAGCATGAATTACAAACGCGTGATGAGAGAGAAGAGAAAAAGAAAAAGCGTAGGGTTTTTAGAAATGGAAATTAAATATCTGTTTTTGCTTAATTGTAAAATTTATTTAATTTTCTTTTAATTTAATAAAATTTTTCTTTAATTTAATTTAATTTTGCTATATTTATAGAAAATTTACAAGTTTTTATGTAAATTTACAAGAAACGATTTGATTTTTTACAGTCTATTGTTGGTTAACAGTTTGCGCTGTCACTAGGTACAAAAAAAAAAATGAGAGATGAAATTCTGTTAAGTAATTTTTGCGCTTCCAATGATATAGTTGTTAGCTGTTAAGCGGCTGCCTCGGTAGTGCGCTATCTACAGCAGCTGGGGGCATATTAAATCTTTTGTGTAACAGTCAAAAGAGCAATGCGGCTTTCCTATTGGTTACGTAGCATTGTATGAGTTTGTGCTCTTCGTGCTAAGTGCACTCGCTTATCATGCGCATAGTTGTTGCTTGTTTGCTGTTAGCTGCATGTTAGAGGCATTGCGTGTAGTTATTTTCTTTCATTGCTACTTGCGCACATATAATTCTTAACTGCTTTATTATAAAGCTTGTCCTAGAAATCTTTTTGTTTGCTGTAGTTAAAATAATTTATACTTTTTGTTGATGTATTTGCATGAGTCTTAAGTTAATGAATGAGATATTTATAAATTTTTTTTCTTGTTTTTTACAGCATTAATACTACGAGGTAAGTGTATCTTACATTTTCTAATGAGAATGATTTTCATTTTGCTTTTGATGTGATGTGTTTCAATTTTGCCCATTGCCAATTTCTGTACTTTAGCTGATATTGAGGTTATGTATACAAGTTAATATGAGTAATGAAAAAATCCAAACAATTATTATGAGGTTAAAACTAAAACTTAAAGTTAATGTCATAAAGAGATGGTTAGGAGACATTTGCCAGTAGTCAGAATAGGTAACCGTAAGAATTATGGCTTCTAAATGCAAAAAAGTTAAAATATTTTTTATATTTATGTATATGGTTATATAATTAGTAAATATTTTTTTATATTTATATATATTATCATATAATTAGTACCGTCAGAGCTTACTTAAATATAGATATAACTTCATATATGTAAAAAGTATAAGCAATAATCTCGGAGGTAAGAAAATACCTTTGAGGTTAGACTTTACAGTTATGTATTATGAAAGGTTATATATATATATATATATATACATATATGAAGACTTTGAGCATTCTTTTTAAGCTTCATAAGTCAATAGTTCAGTTTGTTAGTCTACAAGCCGAACGTGGTGAGTTGTTAGTATTTTTTTTTAGTCACAATTAAACCATTAAAGACAATCACCTTCAAGTATCAGAATAGGCATAACATCAGGACATGCAATTTTGTTGCCATCACCAACAACAACATGATCATCAATACTGGCAGCTTGCGCTGCATCAACACCAAGCAAATTAGTAAATGTAGCAGTGGTAGTTGTTGAAATGAGAGAATCTTCAGTGGTATTAGTCAACGTAGGTGCTGTGCTTGCAGCAATTGGTGGTGTGTATGGTGAATGAATGAAATTGTCGGTAGTATGCGGCGCTGTGGTCGTTGCGGTAGCGGTAGGAGCGCCGGCGTTATCAACAATATCCGCTAAAGGCACAAAGTGTGCCTCGTTGTCAACAGCGTCATGCACTTCGGTTGCAGTTAAGAAGTCCGCGCACTTGCAAGGACATTCCGGTATGGGTGGTGGTGGTTCGGGTATGCAATAAGGACTCAGCGGCGCTTGCTCGGTATCATATGCATACGCCGTCGGCGACGCATCTTCATTGTGCGCTGGCGTCTTCAGGCGCTCATGTGTTAGCACCTCTTGCACATCGTGCGTTTTCCCACCGATCGGTACGGCCACATGTAGCGTATACACGGAGTTGCTATCACCTTCGGTGGCGATCGTCACATTTACGAGTATGTGCTTACTCGGCGCATCGTATGCTTCGCTCACTACGGGTGCTTTGAGTGGAAACGGTGGCAATTTGTCAGCGTAGCTGTTCGCCGCGTTGTTTTCCGTACCTGCTTTGAGTATTTCGTTTTCCGCTTGCGCTGGATATTTAGGCGGCCGACTGGTGACGATTTCCTTACGTTTGCCATATGTGTGCTGTTGCGGCTTTGCCGGCGCACCGGCTATGGTTTTATATATTTCATCCTTGGTCGAGTGTGTAGCCTCCAATTTGATAATATCAATGTCGTCCGCAATGGGTTCAGCAATAAAATGTTGGTAGTCATTAGTACTGGCGTAAGCTTTGGCGTTTGTATGGAAATTTCGATTGCGCTGCATTATGTTCGCGGGCGCAGTGTGGTTTCTAGTATGTTTGTTGTTCTGTGGCGGCATTAAACCGTCATTAAGCATGAGCTCGTCTTCCGCATTGCTTTCATCAACTGCAGCTGTTGACGCACTTTTTCGTTTACCACTTAAATGTGCTGTTTGCTTTGTTGTTGTGTGGGCTAGAACTTCAACTTCATCAGTTGCACGCTCCGTTATGTAATTGTAGTACAGTTTTTCGGTTGTTTGTGCCGTGTCTGTTTCAGCAGCTTGCTTAACGCTCATTTGTGTGCGGTCTGTTACTGACGTTGTCCTTACTGTTACAACGTCTGCAGAAGAAGCCGCTGATACGCCAACATCTTCAACATTTTTAACATCTCCAACATTTTCTAATGGCAGCAAATCGTCGACTGCTTCAACGTTTTTACTTTCATAACTCGAAGCTCCTGCATTGCTATATTCTCCGCTCTTTGCGTTTACTGCCCGTTGCTGCTTGCTTGTTACAGTTTTTTGCCTTGCCACTGACGTGCGCTCATTTATCTCCATCGTTTGTCGTTCATCAGCTGTTATCATTAGTTTTGTTGTTGTTTTTGCTATTTCAGCATCAACACCAACAATTGCTGCATGTTTTTCAATCATTGCTGCCCGTTCATTTTGCATTTGACTTTCGTTTAGCTTAATTTTCAGTTCACTTTCAGTCGCCGCGTGCTCCGACTCCCACGCTCCTTCGTCGTAGTCGTCGCCTCTTACTTCCGTGCGTGTATGCTCATTCATTTCGGATTTATCAATTTTTATGACACTTGACGTGTCTGCGGCCAGTGGTGTGGCTGGTGTCCGCGCATCATGGCCAACATCATCATAGCTGTCAACCAAATCACGCTCATTATAGTTATCATCAGTTGCAGCTATGTCGGTATCGCTTTCACTATCGTCGTTCAACGCGTTGTCGCTTGCGCCATTATGACGATTGATTTGAGTATTATTTGCCTCATCAAATTCGTGTTGTGGCGCCCTAGTTTCATGCGCGCTCGCATAGCGTATATACTGACTCACATTAACTGGCAATTTTTTAGTCGCATTAACGTCTATTTTATTGTCATTACTTATGGCGTGGTTTTTCCCCATTTGCTGAGCGCCTATGTTGGCGGTATTGTTGCGCACTTCTTTCTTCATTGCACTTTGTACGCGTTCTGCTACTGGTGGCCTGTCAATTTGACTATCATCATCAATAATCACATCGAGAAACTGTACTGCCGCTGGCGCTAGTTGGACAGGTGCGTGAATTGGGCGTCCAAAGTGCTTTCTAAGCGTTTTCATATATCTCGGCTCATTCGCTTTGCGTACGCGCAAATTGCTTTTTACACGCTTATAGGCAGCGTCTTCTTCACCAGTTCCTTCGTTGCGCTCAACGCGCAAGCTTATTATATTAGCGCTTCGCGACGCGTCTGTTGTAATCGATATCTCATTAATTTCAGTCGCTGCTTTAAAAATAAATTCTTCTGCTCCCTCGACTTTGTTGACAAACTCCGCATGGGAGACGCTTACTTTACGTTGCGTGTCACCTTCAACGTAATCAATATCACCATCGAATATATCACGAATGTCACTGGTCGTAAGGTCAATAGCTGTGTGCGCCGCTGTTGTTGTTGGTGTTGGTGTTGTGGGCGCGTCTTCAGTTGTATACTCTTTGTCTTCAATTTTGTTTTCTTCAAGCATTTTTGTTGTCTCACCAGCACATTTTGTTGCGTTTGCCGTGTGCGCTTCGTCAGCATCATTTCCGCACGCGATGTTCGGCGCGTCGCCGTCTCTCAAATTTGCTACTTTATTATTTTTATCCTTAAAAGCCTTTGATAAAACTTTGGCAATTGTCGTCAATGTCGCATCATGCTGTTGCCTAACAGACACACCATCAGCAAATGCAGTCTTGGCAACAACACCTACACTGTCCGACGTTTGCGCGGCCGCGTCTTCAACACCAGTCCTGTCAGCGGCAGTAATTTCTTTGTCATCATTAGAGTTTTGATTGAGATTTAATAGCTTATTGATTTGAGAAGTTTGTGCGTTGCTTATATTGTCGCGTTGTGTTATGGGTTTACTGTTAGACGTATTATTACTATTATGCTTGTCATAATCAGTCTGCACCGCGGCAATATTTATATATTCCTTTGGCGTTTCGTTTAGCGCTTTATTGCTCAGCGCGTCTTCAGCGCTATTACTTGCAGTTTGTGTGTTAGTTAGCGGCAGGCTTTGACATTTATGGGGCGCACTTGCGTCTACTGGCGTGAGACAGCGCGTTTTGGCCGCCGTTGACTGTTTGGCTTGATTGCTTGTTTCGGTTTGCAAACGTTTGCTATTGCGCTTATGTTCAGCAACTATTGCCGTATTACTTGCCATTAGCTCACTCGATTTTTTCACCACATTTGTATCTACCATATTTGGCACATCTGCTGTTTGCGCCACCAACTCAATCATCTTGTTGCTAGTCAACTGCAACTCCACACCCTTTGTTATTGCCTTTGGTGTTACTACAAAGCTGTCAGCATTCGCGCTGTTGCCAACAGTTAACATTTCACTGTCGTCATCGTCGCTATCGCTGCTGTCCTTTGCCTTATCAACGCTGTCGCTATTGCCATTCTTCAATTTATGTTTGCTATTATTCGCGTTGTTTATAACGCGCTCGTGCGCTTTCATTTCATCATCATCATGTCTCGCATGCCTTCCCGTAATTAAGTCGATGCTTTCAAAAGTTTCGTCTGTCATTAAACTTCGACGATAACGCTTCTTCCGCGCGCCATGCTGCTGCCACATGGCATTGAGTGGCATTTGGACTTTTACAAGCGTTTGTTGTTGCCTTTGTTTTGGCCGTAGATATGTATTTTGCCGATAGTAGTGCTGCCACTGCCGCTTGTTAGCGCTCGTTGCCACTACCGCCACTACCTCCACGCCATTACTGCCGCGTTGTCGATGTTGTTGTTCTCGTTGTCGTTCATACCGTTGTGTGCCGTATGACAGGTATCGTGTCCCTGTTGCTGAACTATCCTTTGTTTGTTGCTGCCCGCTTTGTTGTAGCGCTACGTTTCTAACGTCTAGAGACAACAGCGTATGATTTTTTTAAACATATTTTCATAGCGATTGATTGCTGTATTTGTTTTTTTTTTCAGTTTTTTCCTAATTTTAATTAACATTTTCATAAAATAAACCGCCTTTTTATAACTTTTTAACAACCTATGACAATAATGAATTTTTCTTGTGAATTTTCTGGCTGCGTTCGCCTCAAATTACATAAGTAAGGTAAATGCTTTAAGACATTGGTAAGCGGCGGCGTGTTGGCGTAGTCTAAACACATAAATTAAGTGTAAAATGTGTTTTTAATGAGCTTTCGCCAATGAACGTATTGCCGCGCGGAACATGGCGCGGCTGAAAGCACCAAAGGTGAAAGAAATCAAACGCGCGTCAAGGGATTCAAGCGCGTTAAGCGAATCAAGCGCGCAAGGGGTAAACAAATGCGCTAGACATAACCAAATGTTAATAACGCTAAATGTTGGCAATTGCTTGCTCTTTTGGTGTATGCGCTTTTTCGTGTAAATATGCTTAGATGTTCTTACATTGTGCCTAGGTAGTAATAATAATGATATATTCATAATCTGTAACCAAGAGCGTTTACTGACAGTATTATTTGCTGGCGCTTTGCACATTCAATACGCGCTGATTTCATTCACTTTTGTTTTGATTCAATTTGGTTCATCTATTCCTTCGAATTTGTATATTTTTCGGCATTAATTTGCGTAATTACGCGTTTAGGGAGCAAAAAATTAAATTAGTGCAAGCGCAGTTGCTTTGTAATGACGGTAGAGGGCGCGCGTGCTTGAGAATAAGTCTTTCTTATTCATTTACTATACTATATAGACTGTAATGCTTAATCGGGGCAGCATTGTAGTGAAATTATTTTTCTTTGCACTTTTGCTGCCCTACTTAATAATGGGTAGTTGAAAAAGTCTTTTCGTATTTTGTCAATAGAGGTCGTTGCAGTCGTATAACTCCATTGCTACCAATGACGAACAAAATGGTACATATTTGGTGCATTAAAGTTCATTATAAATACAAAAAAAATATGTTGAAGTTTGATTAGAAATACGAAAAAACTTTTTCGACTACCCAATATATACCCACCATTGCGCGCTTATGACTCTGACAATAGTGTGAACACGCCTTAACCATAGCTTTTGGCATGACGAACTTAGTCATTACGTCAATAGCAATTTGCAGCAGCTTCAATTAGCATTAAATAGCGAAATTTCGGCGCCTTCAAATGCAGAAAACTAATTTATTTTCAACGGAGGAGAATTTAATACGAAAGCGAAATGGCAGAGTAAGCGTTAAGAAATGCGTGAGTAAGACGTAAGCTCACTTCTTTTAAATTCACTTTTCGGAAGCACAGTTATACAGTCAGTTTTCTTGCAGTCTCAACTTGCCGGCGTCAATTTCCGGCTTACAAAGTTGACCTGTAATTGCAGCGCTGCTACATCCTGCCGCATATTTGCTGTCGATACTACAAAAAATATTGTTTTTTTTTGTGCTCTACGTTTTTGTCGCCATTGTCGTGGTCTATTTACGGTTAAACAACTTTGTCGAAAGTGTCAACAGCAGACGGCGTTGAATAAATAAATAAAAATTAAAAGGCGAAAACAAATGAATCGAGACTCAACGACGCGGAATGGCATAGAAAATAAGCATATTTTTTTTTTTGGCTGCACAATAGCTGATCCTTTGGCAACAATAATGTGGGTGTCAAGCAAATCAGACACACCAAGCAGTTTGTGCGCACTTACATATAGCAGACAGCGCCAGCGAGCAAGCCAGACGCTACGTAGCGTCGGGGTGCGGCGCACTTGCTGGCTGACACAACTCAAGTGACAATTTTATTCATTTGATTTTGCTTAAACTTTAGCTGTCTGTGTTTTTTTGTGCTTGTTTTTTTTTTAACAGACAACGACTACACGCCTAGCCGCCCCATCCCTGCTGCTATGCCTTTACTTGGCATTCCCTTTTTACTGATTTTCATTACACCGTTATACGTTGATTTCGAATATACGCGGCGCTTATGTCTGTGCCGGCGTTTCAACACCGTACTTCGCGTGAGCAAGTGAAACTCATTTAAAAATAATTAAAACTTCAAAATAATTACCTCCATTATTGGCATTTGCCAGCGATGAGGATGAGGGTGACGAGGCAACGGCTCCGGTCGTACCTATAGCAGCCACCGCCGACGATGCAGATGCTGGTGATTGGTAGGCGGTCGATGATGGCAAGGTGCCACCGCCGCCGCCGCCAGCCATCAAGTCAGCGCTACCGCTGGCCGCTTGCGCCGCTGCCGCTTGTGATGCCGATATCGAGGAGAGTGATGAGGTTGCCGTTGATGCTGTGACCGTGGTAGGTTGTCCAAATTTCGTTAGATCTGTGTTAGTGCTTTTGGCGGCCGTCACTTCGGATGCCTCATTGCCGACTAGAATTGTGCGTGGTTCGTCCATGGATAAGTGTAATACACCGGATACTGTGTGGTGTGCAAGGTTAGAATAGTAGAGAGAGAGGGAAGAAATGTTGAGATGAATAAATGGGTATTAATTGAAATTATTTTAATTAAGGAAAAGCAAAAATTGAAAAGAAAATCTCAATGAAAATCAATTGAAGTGCGTGCCATGATAATGTAAGATGTTGCGTGTTATGTAGAGCACTTACCATATAGAACTATTGAAATCAAGCCGAGTAACGCAAATACCGCCAAACATATGTTGAGCGCACACCGCCAACGGTGCCAGCGCGCCGCCAAACCCTTGCGGAAATTCATCGGTGTCGAATAGTGGTGCGCAGGCAGGCCGCTCATAACGCTGCGCGGTGGAAGCACGGGTCCCATGCAATTATTCGTGCTGCGCTCGTAACCTTTGAGTGTGTCTTTTGTAGGTGTGGAGCAGGCCGAGCCGCTTTTATAATCGATGGGTGAACCTTTGTTGATATCTGCAAACAAAAATTGAACAAAATTTTTAATAAGATAATATAATGTAAGGTATTAAACAATTTCGTTGAATCATATGTAGGACTAGCTTTAAAAGAGTTTGATTTTCAGTGAGCATCTTAAAGTCATTCGTAAGACTAAAGATACTATAATTGCACCTAGCTACTTCGATTTCTGCATAATAACGAACTATTACAGACAGTCACCCGGATTTCAACACTTCTCATCATCCTGTTTAATTTTTTATATATAGTAATATATTTCGATTAGTTTTAAGTTATATGTACATACAACCTTTGGGTGACCACTGCTATTGTACTCTGTAGCAACATATTGCAAGAGTATAAAAACAAAGCAGTCACTGTTTAATTGCATTGATGTTAACAATTTATTTGGAATTGCTGTTATAATTCTGGCCAAACAGCAAATAAATGTAACTTGTTCGTTTTATGTTACTACAAACCTGCCGAGTGATCCTCTGTAACTTCATTACAGCATGCACAACAGTGTAGGAATGTTACATACTCGTATTAGCCCATGCAAACGCAGTTGCTGTCTCGTCAACACGAAACAGGTGAGCAGCACTGCAGAACATTATAACTAAAACTGAATGACCGAATGTTAACACAATTTCATTCATGTTAGTTAACATTCTCTGTTTGATAGTCGTGTGTCGGTAAGTGCGCGTCGGTACGTGATCGCGATCAAAGTTTGTGGAAAAGGTAATAAATTAATAATTTATTGAATTTTTTTGAGTATTATTTAAATATTATTTCAATTTGTGTATGTAAAGTGATAAGTGCGTGTTGATTAATTGAAATGAAAGTATGCAAATGCAATTCAGCA